ATGATTTCCCACCTTCTGTCTCTCTGTCACTCTTGCAAGCACACACACCCTATTGTAAAAAATCTCTCTCTAAAAAAAGTAGTGGGTTATAAGATAAAATACCAGTTCCTTAGCATGGCATGAATGCCCTCTATAATCTGGCCTTGGCCTAGCTTTCTAGCCTCTTCTCCTGCCATTCTTCTACATGTACTCCCCTCTCCAGTGGTAAAAAAAAATACCTATGTTGATTTAGTCTCAGTGCCTTTGCACTTGACACTTTCACTACCATTGGTTTTGAATTCCTCTTCTCCTTCTACCATCATCTAAGATAACTCTCTCCACTGGACAGACACTAATCAGTCGACAGAGCTAGACCACCAGGCCACCAACGCTCTGCCACTGCACAGACACACAGACACACGCATGGGGTCGGCACTAGGTTAGAACCAAGCCGATGTGGCCTATCTAGATCTATCAAGATTTTTATTAACTATGTTAGCCTTTCACCAAAACTACTGAGACCAAGAGCTGTTAGAGAGCCTAGAATGGTCGTCCTGAGGTTTGCACCACACCGTCGTCCTACCTCAGCCTCCTGAGCACTTACCATTGCATTTGGCTTTTAAGGCAGGCTGGGAATGAAACCCTAATCCTTCAAGTGGCCTCAGTCAGCCAGCACATGCTATCACCGCAGGCCAGCAGTGGCAGGCCTCACTCATAGGCAGGGACTCCCAGAACATCCAGAATGTAGGCTTACCACTCCGCAAGACTTTATGTTCTGCATGAATAGGTAACTCATGTAGCTATTTTTAAAAATACTCACATTCCAAAGATGAACATTTAAATGAAAGAGTAAAGAGCTAAAAAGCAGCCCAGCTGTTCTGACAGAGAAAAATAAAGAAGGAAAATGTAACAAATCATAAACAGAAATTAAAACAGTTATAGGAGTAGATCAGTTAACTGAACAGAATAAGGAGCTCCGATTATACTGGCCTAGTAATCAGGAAAATATAAACCCAAACCACAAGGTTATAGCACTTTAAACAAACTCGGTCAGCAAAACTCAGGACATCTGACAATCCCTAATGTTGAAGAGGATGTGAAGCAGCAGGATCGATTACATTCTACTGTATCAGCATAAACGGGTCCAAGCATTTGGAAAGCAGTCTGTCATTCTCTCTTAAACATTTAAATAACCTATGGCTTAGCAGTTTAACTCTTAGACACAAGGGGACTTGGAAAAGTTTGAGGATGAGTAGGATTAAAGTACAAAATGTTTTTTAAAAATTTTGCTATAGGGTGCATTTACTTGTCAGACAGAGGGGGAAAGAGAGGGAAAGTGAGAAAGCATCCCTGTGGGGATGGCCACGCTATAATCACTTCTCCATTCTCCTAAAAGTTTGTGGAAGAATAGGATTAAAGTACAAAATGTTTTTTTTAAAATTTTGCTATAGGGTGCATTTACTTGTCAGACAGAGGGGGAAAGAGAGGGAAAGTGAGAAAGCATCCCTGTGGGGATGGCCACGCTATAATCACTTCTCCATTCTCCTGTTGGGATTTTGGGCATCACGCACACATGTCTGGCATGCTTTTCAAGCCACAGGATCCAGGACTCAAACTGCATCATCGACCATCTGGGATCCAGTAACCTAAACCCACCAAGCCGTCAGTTGACCCAAGCATGACTTTGTTTTTGTGAAAAAACTTTTGCATAGATTTTGCATAATATCCATTTTCCATGATCTTTTCGGAAACCTCATATAGGTCATCAGAAAAGTCATGATATATTTTTACATAGAAAAATATATCATGACTTTCCCAACAGTCTAATACCTTAGAGTACAGTAGAAGAGGAGAAAGTTCTAAAAAGTACTATTCATAGTAGCAAAAACAAACAATAAACAAACAAACAAAAAGCAGGAAACAACCCAAATATCTATCAACAAGAAACTAGAGAGAAAAGTTTTGGTACATTTACACTGCTAATCTATGAAGACGTCCTACTCCTGCTTGAGTTGTTGTAAACAAACTGCAACCTCACTCAGGAGTCTACTTCTTTAGCAAGTTGCTGAGTTACAGCCAATCACAGCAGCCACACTTCAGTTACAGCCAATCGCAGACAGCTCACCCTTTAAACTGTGGTCATGCAGGCAAACATCAAGTTGTAGCCAATCCAGTTATTTCTCTACCTCATCCCTCACTTCCATGTTTTCTAAGTCATCTTCCCTTTCCTGCATATAAATGTTACCCAACCATGTAGCACTTCAGAGTTTCTCAAAAGCCATCCTGGAGGCCACCCAATTCACAAATCATTTTTACTCAATTAAACTCTGCTAATTTAGATTTATTTTACATTTTCTTTTAACAAAAGCACGGCACATATAACAGTGAAAATGAATAAAATTACTACTAGTTAAGATAGCTAAGTCTCAATAACATCACGCTGCATCCAACAGACAACACTGGATGATAACTACACTAACCAGTATAATATTTAGACACACCCATATATGATAAAGCCAACTACAAAACCCACAAGGGCATGATAAACATGACGTCCAGGTAGTGGCTCTCTCTGATGAAGTCGGGAGATGGGAGAAAAGAGAAACAACACAGAAGAGAATCAGTCATGTTCTCGTTCTCAGGTTGGGATTGGATAATGTGTATTTTTAAAACAAGTGAATGAAAGACTAAACAAACAAACAAACAAAATTTTCATAACCATAAGGATTCCTCATGTTTTTGTAATTTTTATCTGTCATTTACTGCTAAGATATGATCAATCTTACATAAACAGGCTTAATACCTTAGAAATTTTAATAACTCAGTAATGTAACTCTTAAAAAGTTCAACACAAGGGAACCAGCAGTTAGCGTAATGGCTATGTCACTGGACTCCCACCTAGTCGACTACGGTTTGCGTCCCAGACCCGGTGGCTTAAAACTCACACCGGGCGCGTGTGTGTGCGTGCCCAAGATCTCGAGAGGAGAATGGAGGAGAAGGGATTGCGGCGTGACCATCCCCCCTGGGGGTGATTTCTCGCTTTCTGTCTCTCTGTCTCTCTCTGTCTCTCTGGCGAGCGCACACGCCCTATAGCAAAAACCTCTCCAGAAAAAAAAAAAAGTTCAACACAAGCATGATTCTTAAAACTTTTATAATACCAAATTTCTTGAGCTTTCTTTTTCTTTTTTCAAAATGGAAAAGCCTTAGGATACCTGATTTCCGTGAAGATCCAAGACATCTAAGTTCTTTAGGTTTTCCAGATTTGAGATTTTCCTAATTCTGGAAGTAAGAATAAGTAAAATGAGTTGACATATGGATGCATCAAATCTATCAAAGCATGTTCAGGCATAAAGATATAACTCATTTTAATTTATTCATTCATCCATGTTCTCTCTTCATATAAATGTTACATATAGTTATATATATAAAATATTTCCCTTTGATTTAATTATATTTTTCTTAATAAAACCATTACAGTAAAAAATCTCTCTCCAGTCAAAAAGAACTATACTTTTTACATAACAGATACTAAAATATCTCTCAATTTTCTTCATTTACAACATCATATAATGCAAAAAACACACAATGTATCATGAGGCTATTGACACTTGTAACTGATACTTCAGCAATGGCTAAACTAGTCAGACTGCTAATTTACCTTTAAATTAGGTACAGTTGTAAAGATGCTATATCAGTAGGGGGAAAGACACCTTTTCTTTAGAAAAGACAAATTCTACCTCTAAGAACCACAGGTCAAGGCATTTACTTAAGGTAGTGCCCTTTGCCTTAGAATACAGTCTAAACTCCTCCTGCCTACAAGTCACTAACCCATCTGAGTGCGGGCTTGCCCCGTCTTATCTCCCAGCACGGACTCACTCACTCTGCTCCAGCCACAGGGGCTTTCTTGCTGTATCTCTAAACTGATAAATTCATGTCTGCTCTTGCTGCTCCTTCTGGCTTCATTTCTTCTCCCCAAACTGCACATGGCTCACGCCTTCACATTACAGTGTTCTGTGCTCAAACATCTCAGAGCTGCATCCAGACGACTAAAATATGATAGCTCACCCCTCCTACCCCATTACTTTCTCCTTCCCCTGCTTTAACTGACCTCACAGCATTATCATATCACTGCCTAAAATTTTACTATTCAGAAACCAGCAGATGGCGTGATTGGTTATGTTGCTGAGCTCCCACGTAGTCCACCGCGGTTCGAGCATACTCTATAGCAAAAATCTCTCTCCAGAAAAAAAAAAAAAAAGTACTATTTATGTGTTGACTTGTTTTATTAGCTCTGTTGCCAAACCAAAATGTGAGCTTCAAGAGATCAGAAACTGAGACCAGCAGTTAAGAGTAATGGCTATGTCGCTGGACTCCCATGTAGTTGACCGCAGTTTCAGTCCTGGACCCGGTGGCTTAAACTCACTCCGGGCGCGTGTGCGTGCGTGCCCAAGATCCCGAGAGGAGAATGGAGGAGAAGGGATTGCAGCGTGGCCATCCCTCCTGGGGGGTGATTTCTCGCTTTCTGTCTCTCTGTCTCCGTCTGTCTGGTGAGCGCATAGCAAAAACCTCTCCAAAAAAAAAAAAAAAGAGAACAGAAACTGACATATCATAACAGCATCATACTACTAACTGTTCCTGGTACCAAGAAGGTGCCCAATAAATATGTGCTTAGTGAATGAATAAATATACTAAGTAAATGGTTAAGTTTCATGTATAGAGTATTCAAAATGGGATTATTTATCAAAGAGACAAATTGCAACCATCTAAATGCTTTCTCATGGATATGTCCCATTTGTAAAACACATTTATTTGCCATCTCATGAAAAGCTAGAATTTTCCTATAAATTAGAAAATAAAGAATTCTATCCTTTAAGTGCCCTCTTTTATATCCCCTAGTGGTCAGGCCTACCCGCTGTTTGACTCCTACCCTACCTTTCTGTTTTGTTTTGTTTTTGCCATAGGCAAGTGCACTCCTAGATGCACGAAAGTGAGAAATTCTTTCTTTTCCCACAATCCTTTCTCCTCCATTCTCCTCCTGGGATTTTGGGTATGCACACACACACACACACCTGGTGAGGTTTCAAACTGCCATGTCTGGGAGTAGAACCTCGGGTGGCTATGTGGCCAGAGCCTTAACCAGCACCACCTGCTGGTCCCACTCATTCCTGTCTTCTGTGGCTGCTTTTCCTATCTAACTGCCTCCACCTGGATTCTTCTAACAAAACAAACAAACAAACAAAACACTTCTTTTAGGTCCTGCTGTTATCAGTAGAAAGAAGAGAGCAATGGCAAAGACAGGACAGAAATGAAGTGCGTGCAACCCCCTTTCTCACATCTATCCATCACCACTTATTTTACTTCCGCTGTCATTGCTTACTATTCCCACCTTCCTACATGTTTACAGAACCTGGCTCACTCCTTGAAATGCCATACATCTGCTGATCACCATGTAAACATAACGCAAGTGTAAACTTCATGAATTTCTATCTCCACATGACCTCGCCATCTTACATTATTGCCAAATCAAGAATATCATCACAAACCAACTCAGTCCAATTTAATTCATAAAGATACATCAGAGGGGCCAGCAGGTGGCATGGAGGCTAAAGCACTAAACTACCTCACGGCCAACTGCGGTTTGAGCCCCAGACCCAGCAGCTTGAAATTAATGCCGGGCACGTATGCATGCCCAAAATCCCGAGAGGAGAATGGAGGAGCAGGAGCTGTGGTATGGCCATCCTCCCTGGGGGTGATTTCCCATGTCCCCGTTCTCTGTCTCTCCAGCGAGTATATGCACCTATGGTCAACTTCCCACCTGATTACTATCTGTCTAAGAAGTATATTGTTAGCTCTGAAAATTATATAACAGATATAATGGAAGAGCAATGTGGTCTGGTTCTGTATTCATGCAGAAACTGAGCACCTTCCAGGCACTTTAATCATGGAAACTTTCATGTGCAATGTCTTCCCACCGTATTCCACCAAGGCCACAAATATTCACTCCCTGCCTGCTGTGACTTCAAGCATTATCTTAGCTTTGCCATATAGTGATGGCTTTACGATTCTCACTTCACATCTGATTACCCAGATAAACAAAAAGAAAAATAACCAAGCTATTCAATAAGTGCAATCCAAGACCAACCAAACACCTTCTTGTCTGTTTTCATGAGAATCTATGCAAAGACCCAGATCTCCCCCAGCATCTCTTTAAAGAGTTATTTCTTTACTTTTATTTATTATTTCTATATTTTTTTGAGGGATTTTTGCTATTAGGTGTGTGCATTCGCTGGAGAGACAGACAGAAAGGAGGGATTTTTTGCTATGAGCTGTGTGCACTCGCTGGAGAGACAGAGAGACAGAAAGCAAGAAATCACTCCTAGGGGTGATGGCCACGCTAAAATCCTTTCTCCTCCATTCTCCTCTCATGCCGGTGCATGCACATGCACCGGCATGAGTTTTAAGCCACCAGGTCTGGGGCTCAAACCATGGTCAACTACATGGGAGTCCAGTGATGTAACCATTATGCCATCTGTTGGTTCCATTATTATTATTTATTTAAACTTTGCTATAGGGCACATGTGCTCACCAAAGACAGACGGGGGGGGGAGGGGGAGGAAAGAAAGTGAGAAAGCAAGCCACCCAGTCCAGGACTCGAACCATGGTCAGCTATGTGAGAGTCCAGTGCCTCAAACACCACACCACTTGCTGGCCCCTCCCCCAGCATCTTAAGTGACCTAGAAACGGATCTAATTCCAAAGAATTCAGAGGGAGTTGAAGACATCAATGGACCAAAGAAGCCACTGGTTAGATGAGGGACTGATGTGAGGAGCCTGGGAAATCCTATCTGTGCCCTTCTCATCTGTGAAGGTGTTTACATTAACATCGAAGTGGCCTAAGAAGCTCTCCCTTTAAAAAAAACTGAAACTAGAAAAAGGCTAGACTCACTCACCACCTCAGCAGCTACAGTTCTATAGGGATATACCACAGCCTGTCTCTGGAGGTGGTATTTTTTTTTTTAAGTTTTTGCCTGCATGTGCTCATAGGAGAGAGACAGAGAGAGAGAGGGAAGTGAGAAATCACCCCCCTGCAGGAGTGGCCATGCCACAGGCCTGTCTCCTCCATTCTCCTCTCAGGATTTTAGGCACACAGGCACCTAAAGTGATTTTCAAGCCGACAGAGTCGGACATGTAGAATCAAACTGCCTTCAATTCCATGCCACCTGCTGGCCCTGGAGGTGGTATTTTGTTACCAACACCAAGACAAAGACCTTACTATGGACTTACACAAACATTCAACTTTTCACATGTCAGCAAATCCAGAAGTAGGCAATTTCAAGGAATCAAAAGGAAATGAACAAAGACTCCAGGGTAGGGAGCTTTGTATCTGTAATCCTGGTGATCAGAAGAAAATGCAGGAAAGCTGTATTGATTAGTGGGCTCAGGAGGGCACCAGAATATCTGAAGAGGATAAGCAGAAGATAGTGAAGGCAGGAAAACAAGACAGGAAGAACTGCAACAGTGAAGTGGAGGTCGGGAGTTCTTCGGTGGCTACGTACTGAATCTGAGCAACGATCTCTTTGTGGCTTTTAAGCAGAAACTTCTGCTGGAGCTGAACTTAAAGGCGTGCAGTTTCCCCGGATCTCCACGCGTCCCACAGTGGCGCTGCAGTAAAGGGTGGTGCAGGGCTCTGCAATGTGGAAGGGAGGAACCTTCCTGGACCTGGCCAGCAGCGGAGCAGAGAGGCTGTCCTCTCCGCCAGCGTGCTCAGCCCGGTGTGCCTAATGCTCCCTAAAGCACTGCCTCAATAAAGAGTTGTGTCTGCAAAGCTCACAGGCCCCTTGCTGTGACAAAGTCAGGGGCTGGAGAGCACTGGTCTTGTGTTTTAGGGATACTGATACTTCAGAAACATGCAAGAGAGGGGAATGTGAAAAATTATCTTATAACTAATTTTCTTTTCTTTTTTTAAAGGTTTTTGCTATAGAGCACGAGCACTCACTGGAGGGGAGAGAGACAGAGACTGTGAGAGGGAAAGTGAGAAATCACCCTGGGGAGGGGATGGCCATGCTGCAATCCCTTCTCCTCCATTCTCCAGCTGGGATTTTGAGCCTGCCCGTGTACCCAGTGTGATTTTCAAGCCACCGGTCCAGGACTCAAAATGTGGTCAGCCATGTTGGAATCCAGTGCCTTAACCACCACGGCTGGTCCCTTAATTTTCTTTTCCACTCAAGAATACCAACAGTTCTATAACCGTTTAATAACTTCTTTCTCTATGTGAAAAATAAAATATGAGCAAAGGAAACAAATATGTAAGCACACAGAAAAGACTGAGGAGTACCGGCCGCAAGAGAGGGCAGTAGTAGACTGCTTTGACTTCACCAGGACGAAGACAGAGAAGGGCATTAGGTCCCTTATATTGGAAGCACACAGAGACCATAAATAAGGTGAGAGATTTAGATAAGCTCAGTGTCTTCAAACCACGAGTTATCAAAGCAAAAGACCGCTTTTACTTCACCAGGATGAAGATAGAGAAGGGCATTAGGTCCCTTATATTTGGAAGCACATAGAGACCATAAATAAGGTGAGAGATTTAGATAAGCTCAGTGTCTTCAAACCACGAGTTATCAAAGCAAAACAAAAAAAAACTTAAAAGGTCATTTCTGAGAACCAGAGAAGTTAAAAATAAAAGCAGGACAACAGAATACATGGACAGGTGATTTAAAAAGTAGGAACCAGGAGTAACTCTTAAATACTATGTTTAAGCCAGAAAAGGAGATTTAAAACATCACTAGAAAACATCTGACCTCAAGGACTAAAAGGAGGGCATAAGGACAACGGTACTAAAGAAGAAATGTAAACTAGACCAAAAAATCAGTAACTCAGGCCAGTCAGGTGGTTAAGGTGGCTGGATCCTGCATGGCTGGCAGCACAGTTTGAGTCCTGGACCTAGGAGCTTGGAAAAGATGCCAGGCGCATGTGCATGAGTGCCAAAAGTCTTGAGAGGAGAATGGAAGAAAAGGGATTTCAGCATGGTTATCCCCCCACGAAGGGGTGACTTCTCACTCTCTCTGGCAAGCACACCTGTCTAAGAGCAAAAGAAAGGAAGGAAGGAAAGGAGGGAGGGAGGAAGAAAGAGAGAGAAAGAGAGAGAGAGAGAGAGAGAAGGAAGGAAGGAAATCGGTAATTCTAAGGATCAGAGACCAGTAGAGAACTACCTGGGAGAGACGACAGGGAGCACTCGCAAGGGAATTCCTGGACTGTGTGGAACGTTAGCTTCTCTCCACTTTGCCCAGTGGACCGCTGTGGTGGCATATTCCTCTGTCCACAGTTCACACATATCTAACTGCAAAAGTCACTTTACCTCTCTCTCCTCTCCATTTCTTCATCTATAAAGTGAGAGCTGATCGCAGTCACTTGAAGCTCTAATATTCTGGTTACATAACCCCCCAAATTTCCTCATAGGACATAATGCTTAGTTTAACATTTAAACAGACTATGGCTGAAAAATGACACTGATGGGAATTTCAGAGAAACCACAGAGGACAGACAAGAACCTGGAACTACAGGACATGACCTTGGAAAAGTATCTTATATCATCATTGGGTAGTAGAGATAAAGAGTGTCAGGGCTTAAGACATGATACCAAAAAATAAAGAGCCTCGGCTCTACTATATTACAGTCGTCTAGGAGTCTGAGGAAACTGAGAAGGCTGCAGGAAAGTCATTCTCTGACCGTCGGCCTTTTTCTTCTGAGCTCTTAGAAAGAACTGAGGCCAGCAGGCAGTCAAGGTGCTGGATTCCCACATGGCCAGCCACAATTCTGGACCTGGCACTTGAAAATCACATGGGGCATGTATGTGTGCATGCCCAAAACCCTGAGAGAAGCATGGAGGAAAAGGGATGACTTCTCACTTTCCCTCTCTCTCTCTCTCCATTGAGTGGATGCACCCTATGACAAAAAACTAACAAAAAAAGAAAAAAAAAAATTCTGGGGAGCAGCAGTTAGCGTAATGGCTATGTCGCTGGACTCCCACGTAGTCGACCACGGTTCAAGTCCCAGACCCGGTGGCTTAAAACTCATGCCAGGCGCGTGTGCGTGCGTGCCCAAGATCCTGAGAGGAGAATGGAGGAGAAGGGATTGCGGCGTGACCATTCCCCCTGGGGGGTGATTTCTCGCTTTCTGTCTCTATGTCTCTCTCTGTCTGGCGAGTGCATGCGCCCTATAGCAAAAATCTCTCCAAAAAAAGAAAAACAAAATTAAAAAAAAAAAATCCTCCAATCTACCTTCCTGAAAGTAGGTTATTAAACTTCCATTCCATTCCATTGGGGTCTGGTCCTACGCTTAGAGGAAAGAAATGAAGACACCAAGATGCCAGGAGGAACCTGAACAAGCAGGCCTAAGTCCCCCAATTAACTGCCACTACGTCATACTTTCTTTGTCCAGTCATACGTCTGCATGACTGCCCACTTGTCATCAAACCTAAGGATAAAAACACAATTCTCCCTCTTTGAGTCTCATTTCTGAGAGCTCCTGTGTCACATACAAGTTTATATTAAATAAATTCGTTATGCTTTTCTCTTGTTAATTTGTCTTTGTTATAGATATCAGCCATGTATTTTACAATGAGTGAGGAAAAGAAGCAGGAAAATCTAGCTTGGTTATATTGCTATATCTGAACTTCATCATTTGATAAAATAGAAGTATCTGTTTTTGTTTGCCATAGGGCATCTGTGCTCACTGGAGAAAGACAGAGTGACAGTGAGGGAAAGTGAGAAACATGCCCCGGGGTGATGGCCATGCCGCAATCCCTACTCCTCCAATCTCCTCCTGGGATTTTGGGCACATACACACACACATCCAGCATGAATTTCAAGATGCCAGGTCTGGGACTCAAACCGCAGTCAACCATGTGGAATCCAGCACCTTAACCACTAGCTTGCCTCTAAAAATTATTTCATATTCTGCTAAAGAGTCCTTGTAGGCATTGCCAAAGCTATCTAGTAAAAGTAAAAAAAAGAGAAGTCATGGGTCACTGTCAAGGAAGTGAGTCGGAAATTACACCGCTGTACTGCAGATTAGACACATGGAAGGGACCGGGGGCTCACACAGGGCACGGTACTAAATACACGCTGACTCTCCACCACGAGGCACTGAGCGGCTACTTCCAGGCAAAGAGGAAACTGAAGTAAATGCAAACGCTCGGAACACGTGCTAAGAAAACAGAGCAATGGGAGTGGAACGCACACTCAGCACGCGTTATCTGGACTGGCAACCTGTTCATCTGAAGCTCATGAAACAAATGATAACTGAATCTTAATTCATCTGAATAATCTCTCAGAGGGTTTAGTCTTTTTCTTAAGTCCTATTCAATTCTGAGTTGCTGCCTACGCGCCCTAAGATTCCACGAAAATCTTATCCCTAACATTAGGCTACAAACGAAAGCTGCTCTACAAAAGAATACCTGTTTTTCCCCAACAGAAGGACACGGAGGGATCTCAGAGTAGAAAGCCCACTAATTTCTTCAATCTGGTTATCATATAAATCCAAGAATATTAACCTCTGTAGGTTAGAAATATTTTGGATTCGCGTTATAAAATTGTGTTGGAAGTTCAACAAACGAAGGTGTTCTTCCCCGTCGATGATAGGGCAGACAGTCAGCTTTTGTCTAGAAAAGAAAATGTAAAGACAGTAAGGTTCTGATTCCGCAGTCTGTTTCCTAACAAGTATTATTATTAGCATTGTTGTGCTCCCGTGTTGTGAGGAGAAAACGGTAACTTGGACTACTTCCAGCCCCATGAACCAAGCAACCTATAGTTAATTGTAAATAACTTATTAAAAAGCCATAGGCTTTAACAAGGGTAACTGTAAAAATAAAGTCTAATACTTATTGTGAAAAAGTCCCCAATATAAACGCTTTCCCATGGACTTAACATCAGAAAACACGTAATGTAACTGCCCTCTGTGACAGAGGCCTAGACAGCTGAAATAACCCTGTCCCACAAGCAGAGACCAGCACATTGACAACGGCCCAGACAACCAAGCCATCGGGGCAGAAACCATACAAAAGGCACCTCACTGAATCACAGACTCCGGAGCTGAATGACCCCTTGAAAGAGAAGAAATTCAGCCATCTGCAGGTCATACTGATGACAAACTTCATTCTGAAATCCATGCATGGTAAGGTAGATTTTAAGTATATGTTACATGCTCATCACTAACTCTGAACCTGAGACAGCACTCAGAGTATACGGGGTAGAATGAAAACTTAATAACATATACCTTTAGCTGTACTAATAACAGTAAGCCTCTATTATGCAAAAAGTTGTATTATATGTGAAATAAACACGTGTAGAGCCCTTTAAGAGTTTGACTAGTGGGATGAGCAAACGGTGTGATGGTTATGATGCTAGACTCCCATATAGTTGACTATGGTTCAAATCCCAGACCTGGTGGCTTAAAAAAAATTCATGCCAGGCACACATGTGTGTGCCCAAAATCCTGAAAGGACAATAGAGGAGAGATTGCGGTAAGCCCATCACCTCTGGGGGGTGATTTCCCACTTTCTGTCTCTTTCTGTCTCTCCAGTGAGAGCATGTGCTCTATCACAAAAACACTTCTGTCTAAAAATTTAAAATTTTTTTAAAAAAGAACTCAACTAGTATATTAATATGGCCAGTCCTGAGTGATCCTACCATGAGAGGCTCAAAGGACTCTTCAAAGATAATGAAGCTCTAGCTGACTGTGAGCAACTCTAACAGGTAGGTTTATTACAAATATTTTCTTTCAGTAAAAATCAAGTTAATAAGCTTTAAAGAAAATAAGGATCAGAAGATAGCAAAATGGTCATATTGCTAGACTCCCACATAGTCAACCATGGTTCGAGTCCTGGACCCAGCAGCTTAAAACTCACACTGGGCACATGTGCATGCATGCCCAAAATCCCAAGAGGCGAATGGAGAAGGAACTATGGCATGGCCATCCCTCTGGGGAGTGATTTCTCGCTTTCTGTCTCTCTGTCTCTGTCCCTACAGCAAGTGCACATGCCCTGTAGCAAAATGTTTCTTTAAAAAAAAAGTATGGGGCCAGCAGGTGGCGTGGTGGTTAAGGGCGCTGGACTTCCACATGGCAGACCATGGTTCGAGTCCTGGACCTGGTGGCTTGCTTTCTTATTTCCTCTCTCTCTCTCTCTCTCTCTCTCTCATTCTGTCCTTCTCTGATTGAATTAAAATAAATAAAGTTAAATAATTTTTTTTAAAACTAAAGAAATCTGGGGGCAGCAGGTGCTGTGGTGGTTAAGGCACTGGACTCCCTCCCAACCATGGTTCGAGTCCCAGACCTCACAGCTTGAAAAAGCATAGCAAGCACATGTGTGTGCGTGCCTAAAATCCCAGGAGGAGAATGGAGGGGGAGGGACTGTGGCACAGCCATCCTCCCTGGGCAGTGATTTGTCATGTTTCCCCCCCCCCTCTCTCTCTCTCTCAGGTGAGTGCACAGGTGCCCTAAGGCAAAAACCTTAAAAAGAAAAAAAGAAATCTGAGGATAAATGAGGCCACAGAAGTGGTCACTCTCCATATAGAGGGGGAAAAAGAACGATTAGTGGAAAGAAATAATTGTTAATGGTTGACGAAAATATAATATTTAAAAATACAGACTCTAGGGGCCAGAGGTGGTGTAGTGGCTAAGGCACTATGGCACTGTGGCCAACCATGGTTCAGGTTCCAGACCTGGCAGCTTGAAACTCATGTTGGGTACGTATGTATGCATGTCCATAATCCTGAGAGGAGAATGGAGAAGGGACTGTGGTATGGCCATCCCCGCTGGGGGCTGATACCTCATTTTCTATCTGTCTCTGTCTCTCTAGCAAGCACACAAGCCCTATAGCAAAAATCTCTAAAAAAAAAAAGTACAGACCCCCCGAAGAAATTCACTTAGCGCAAAAACATTAAATATTAGTCAATAAGTTGATTCTTTTAATGTGTGGTGAATATTTATACCAACACAGCTGGTACTTCTATGCACATTTTATAAATAAAATATAAGTTAAATATTCTACTCTAAAATTTACATCTTTGTGCAAGCTTAGCAAGAAACAAAGTATTCTTTTTCCTGCTTCAGTCTTTCTCTACTTCTCACAGTTAAACTCACTGCATGCCCCAACTTTTATTTCATCCAACCCTGAGACAGACATCACTGAGAGGAACTAAATAACCCCTGACCCCATTCTTACCTGAGCTGCTATAACTTGGAATCAAGTCATTTTCTTGGATTTCAACTACAGTGGCCACGTCCCAACTCCAAGGCTCACTCGTACACCCCTTACGCAGGAAGCCTTGTTGCTCCACCAGAACAAGCCAGCACACGCACACCATAATCGAGGAGGCCGCGTCCTGGAGGGGGTTTGGTACACTACAAACCCTTGAGTTGCACACGCTCCTACCCCATTGCTGACTACGCTTCTGCGGTCTTGTTTCCTTCTTGGTGCTCGGAAGGACACCTTCCCGGTTCTCCAGGCCTTCCTTAACTCCCAGCACAGCCAGCGCCTAGCTCTTCCAGGTATTTCTTCACAGGGCTGGATCACACTCTTGATCCCTCCATCCTGGCTAAGAAGCTGCACAGCAAGGCACATTTGCCTTTGGAAGAGCTTCTGTTACCCAGTGGCTCTCAGTGATGCCCGCGTCAGTTCCCGGCAGCTAGCCCAGTGTCCCTGACTGCGCCCAGGTGCAGATGAACCCTGCCTGCGCCTGACACAGCTGTGAGGGTCTGGATTTCCCAGTCGACCTTTGAAGCCGTCAGTTCCCTTGGTCCTGACTTTCTTAGAAAGCATGTCTCCACCTGATCAGTTTGCTTCTCTACCCTGAGGCCTTTGCCGCCAAGGGCCACCCTTACCACTGCCTTGTGCATTCTGAACTACAGCTGAAGTGCCTAACTTGTTATGTCACAGTCTCATAAACACTGTCTCCAGCTGATACTAAGTAATATGAAATTGAAGGGCTGAGGGACTAGTCTTGGCTAAACTTGTAAAGACAGAGAAAATGACCACAAATCTCTCAAAACATTCAAATGGTAACTGTAAAAGTTATGATTATTAGACAATATTAAAATCTAAAAAACCATTAATACACTAAGATGTTATCAGAGATACAGCCTCAACTATTACCCCGCCTACAAAACATGTTAGACTCTCCAGAGAGTTTTCTTCCGGGTACAAACATGGGTGACCCATTATAATTTGTTGTCGAGGATACAATAATGCTAAGCTAGAGATATGTACAGCTGACATGTTGCTGTTTATTCCATAGGGTAGAGGCTGGAGTCCTTCATTAACCATTCTATTATGGATATCTTCTTAGATATAAAGATGGATATTGAGTCTTAAATATATTCATTCAGGGTCAGCCAGGTGGCATAAGCCACCAAGTGGCAAAGGCGGCTGGATCCCACATGGCCAACTGCGCTGTTCAAGTCCTGGAGCTGGTAGCTTGACAAACACACTGGGCGTGTGTACATGCATGCCCAAAAGCCTGAGAGGAGAATGGGAGAGACGAGACTACGGTGTGGCCATCTTCCCTGGCTGGGGGCATGTAGGGGAGTGGTCCTTTCTCTCCTTCTCGCTGTTTCTAGCAAGCACAAGTGCCCGATAGCAAACAAATGAACAAACAAAAAAACCTCATTCATTCAAAATTTTGTCCTCCAGAGACTATTGTGTACCAGCTTTTTTTTCTAGGTGCCAGGGATACAGCATAGAACAGAACCCTCTGTGCTTGTGGAGCTTATGTCTGGCGGGAGGAGAAAGGCAATAAATACGATAAGCACATATTTATATGTTAGAGGGTAATAAATGCTAAGGAAAAAAAATGCAGCAGGGAAGGAGTTTGGGGACTGTCAGGAAGGAAGGGGTTACAATTTTGGAGAGAGCGCCAGAGAAAGTCATCCCTGAGATGACGGTATTCGAGTGAAGAGCTGAGGCAGGTAAGGGAGTGAGGCCTCAGATACGTGGAGGAACAGTACTGCAGGCAGAGGAAACACAAGGGCAAAAGTTCTGGAATATAAGCATGCTTGGTGTGTTCAAGAAGAGCAAGGAGCCAGGTGTGGCTGGAGCAGAGGGAGTGAAGGAGCATGCAGATGTGATGAGGCCTGGGAGGTAATGGGGAGCTGGTTGGAGAGGGCCCTCTAAGTCTGTGGGAGAACTACACTGTAAAGGTTTATCTATTCTAAAATCCATTTTCATCAATGTCATATTTTAGAATTGCCACAGGAGTCTTTTAGGGATTTTGTTTTTGTCTTTTTTTCCAGTTTTCTGCCATAGGGTGCACGTGCTGCCTGGAGAGAGAAGAGCGAGGGAAAGTGAGAAATCACCACTCCCCTGGGAGGATGACCGTGCTAAATCTCTTCTCCTCCATTCTCCTCTAGGGATTTGGGCAAGTGTGCACATGCACCTGGTGTGATTTTCAGGCCGCTGGGTCCAGGACTCAAACCACAGTGGGCCATGTGGGACTTCACCACCTTCGCCACCACACCACCTGCTGGCCCCACCACTGTAATCTTCTGGAGTATAGTGAGCTCTTCTACATTATATAAACGTAAGATTCCTAACCACATCTCTGGAAGGACAAACAAAATAGACACACGTGTTATATCTGGGTGGGAGACGTGTATAGCTGAGGAACAGGAGGGTCTTCGCACCTTTCAGACCTTATACCATGACTCTGTATTACCTAGTTAAAGAAAGAGAGAGAGAAAGAAAAGAAGCTGTCCTCACCTTTCTAGAGTCAACCTGTCCGAGTAAAGAACCTTCTCTTCGGAAGAAACGGTGGAGGATGGGGAAGGACGGCATCGACGAGCTCACCAGGTTAATGTGATCGCCTGTGAGAACGGCACACAGATTACTTGATCAAGAAAAACCTTTAAACTCTAGACGCTAATGTCATCTCGTCTTTGGAGAACTTAAGCACCTACAAATACCTCCTCTAGGAAGCAGTTTCCACAGCTCTCCACATTCGAAATGCTAATCTTAGTTTGCCTCCTTCCTCCTCAGATCTGTGTCCTGTGTATGCCAAATAACTGTCCCTTCTCTCACAGACAGTGGAAATACAGAACTCCTCAAGGGCCATCTCTCTCCCTAGACCATCCTGACTACTGGTACGTCAGCCTAGCGTCCTGTAACTGGGATGATAGTCCCTCATTACCAGATACATTGGGGCCGGCACTATGACAGCCCTGCCGGCTTCTGGACTTTGAAGGTGTCAGAATGGAAGAATCTCCAAATGCTGATAAAGAGCTCATGGCAGTTTTCATTTCCAGCCCACACAGTTCTGTCACGTTTGTTGTGGATGAGAGGCATGATGATTTATTACGAGGCGAAGGGCTTATTATTCTTCCATCTCCTTCAAAATATCAAAAAGTTTATCACAACGCTACACAATACATGGTTTTATTCTAGGAAATGCACAGAACGTAATTTTGGAAAGCAGATGTAAACCTCGTATCACTTTTTCTTTGAATTTTCAGCTACTATTAGCAGAGGAAAATGTAACGGTAACAAAGAGGATGTCAATAAATCTACGCTTGCAGTTAGGGCCCGCAGGGTACATGGCATCTCTGTGAGATTTATAGGCTGTTGGTTAGGCAGTGTCCTCGCCACTTAGTAGCTTTAGTGGACAAACATACATGAAATTAGTAAACCAAGTAGAACAACACACACAAAATAGAGTAAAAATAATACCGACCTATAATTTGCACGTGTGTCTAGTTATTTATAACTTAGTGAGGATGGTTACAGGTGGGTTTTAGGAGGGCAGATATTAAGATATATTATAAAGAACTGAAAGAATGAAAAATAGTCAAGAAGAAATTATGAGAAATTCCAGAAATGATGTAAGACTTGAGTAATAAGTAAGGTGACAGTTTAAATACCAGAGGAAATATACTATCCTTTCCCTTATAAGGAGAAAAATCTACTGAAAGAAACAACTGAGGGACCAGCAGTTGGCACAATGGCTAAGTCTCTGGACTCCCATGTAGTCGACTGTGGTTTGAGGCCCTGACCCAGTGGCTTAAACTCAACGACAGCACATGTGTGTGCGTGCCCAAGATCCCGAGAGGAGAATGGAGGAGAAGGGATTGTGGTGTGGCCATGCCCCTTGCGGGGGTGACTTCTTGCTTTCTGTCTTTCTGTCCCTCACTGTTTCTCTGGCGAGTGCACGCGCCCTATAGCAGAAACCTCCCCCTCCTCCAAAAAAAGGCAACTGAAGCTGAAGTGCTTGAAGGGAGCAATAAGCAATAAAATAATAAAATAGAACCTGAGGTTACATATAATTCTGCTCACCTTATTAGAGTAAATCTCCAATAAGGTGAAAGAATGAAAAACAAAGCTAAGAAGTTAAAATACTCTTTAAGAGGTTATGAGACTATCTAATGACAATTTAAAATCAATGTCTAATACAATTAAAAAATTGTGATGCAATGATATTTGCTAATTTCTTCAGGTCTGCAACACATAAACCAAAGTATCTCACATCTAGCTTCTTGAACAAAAGAGTCAATGCTCACATCCCACGTTCTAAGTATCATAAAATATCAAAACAATTGATAACCATGTTCTAGAGAATAAGCATTCAAAATTGACATGTTCACCGATAAACTGATCTTATAATAGGACCACCTGCTAGCAGGACACCCAAGCAATCATGACTCAGCAAACTAATTCGGATCAAAAGTCGCACAGTTAATAAAACAAAATCAAGGGGCAGCTCCGTGGCATGGTGGTTAAGACACCAGGATCCCACATGGGCGACTGTGAGGTCCAAGTCCTGGATTCAACAGCTTGAGAAACATACTGGGCATGGGTGCCCAAATTCCAAAAAGGAGGGAGAGGTGGAAAAGAAGGGATTGTTGCATGGCCATTCCCTGTGGTAGGAGATGTGCTTTCTCCTCTTTTCTCTCTGGTTCTCTCTTGCAAGTTGATATGGCCACTAGCAAAGAACAATAATAATAATAATTGAATGCAATTAAAAAACAAAACAAAACTTCATGTCTAGGAATTAACTGATTAAAGATGAACAGGTCAGCTAATGATGATAAAGAAAAAGCTCCAAACAACAGACAACCTTGACATCTGTTAGCATTAGAGTTAGGCTTTGAATTATTTTATTAAGGCTTCAAGTCAATTCTCAACTTAAGAGGCAAATTTAAACTTCATAAGACAGGATATAGAGAAAATAATCAAAGTGTAAACTTAATTTGCACTCAGTAATTAGAGGAATTTCCCCTCACTCTTTTCAACTCATGTTATACTCAGAAGTCAAAGTCACTCTTAGCATGATGGCTAACAGTGTGATACACATCTTACCATAAATAGCGAGAGATAAGAACAGTTAGGTAAAAGCTCTTAAAATCTATGAACAAGACCTTCTAAATGTCAGAGAATCACAGAGTTCATCTACATACACATATGGGTACCCATATATAAACTATTTCACGATCTGCTAACATTTTAATTGACACATTTCCTCTGTGATTGTTTATCCTTATAACGTTGTTTAACTTAGTAGATATGTAGCCCTTACCTCCCCAATCAAATTTATAAACTCCTTGAGAGGTGAACCTCATTTTACATTCTTTATATTCTTGGTAGACTAACTTCAGTAGATAATCAGTATATAAGTTATTTTTCAGTTTACTAAGACTTAACTGGAAGTCTATTTTGTGTGTGTTATTTCTGTTAAAAAAATCAGAAAGTTGTATTTTAGCAAGAAAATTCTAAATGAATTATTTCATTTGTAGTATCTCAAGTGTCAGCAGGCATAATTTGGTAAGAAGATTCATGGCATTGTACCCTAGATACATGGGTGAATGGATGAGTGGGTAGATGGATGAATAAGTGGGTGGATGGATTGATGGGTAGGTAGATGGATGAGTAGATGGATGGATGGGTGGATAGATGGATGAGTGGGTAGATGAATGGATGAGTGGGTGGATGGATGGATGGGTGGATGCATGGATGAGTGGGTAGATGGATGGGTGGGTGGATGGATGGGTGGGTGGATGGATGGGTAGGGGGTAGATGGATGGAAAAATGGGTACATGGGTAAATGGATGGATGGGAAGATGGACAGATGAGTGGATGAATGGTATAATATCCTGTCATATATGTATGCCCACTGGCCTTATCTTTAGATTACTTTGGCAATCAAAATTCTGATTCTAGATTTTTGGGCAATTTTTCATTGTCTTAAGAGCTCAGCATTGCCTCTTCCACTCCCCCACACACATTTTTTCATTTTGTGTGTGTGTGTGTGTGTGTGTGTGTTTGTGGTATTTTAGATAGGGTCTTGCTGTGTCACGAGATCCTTCTGCTTCAGCCTCCTGAGTAGCTGGGACCACAGGCACACACCTCTATGTTCAGTATTTTGCGTGGGCTAAGAATTGAACCCAGGTCTCAACCTGGGTTCAACGTAGGCTCTGCCTGCCACACAGCAGTGTTCTGAACACACTACTGCATCTGGGCCTACCTACATATTTTTTAATTCTTTTTTTTTTTTTTTTTTTTTTTTAGAGATTTTCACTGTAGGGCGCGTGCGCTTGCCAGACAGACAGAGAGAGACATAGAGACAGAAAGCAAGAAATCACCCCCCAGGGGGGATGGTCACACCGCAATCCCTTCTCCTCCATTCTCCTCTCGGGATCTTGGGCACGCACGCACACGCGCCCGGCGTGAGTTTTAAGCCACCGGGTCCGGGACACGAACCGCGGTCGACTACGTGGGAGTCCAGCGACATAGCCATTACGCTAACTGCTGGTTCCCCATATTTTTAAATTCTTAGTGAACAGATTTAATCGGAGCCCAGCTAAAGTGGGACAAGTGGTAGGGCACCATGAAATGAGGCTTGGGCCACATGGAAGGCCTGGTTCAGATCCTAAACCAACCTAAACAGGCCAGGTGCAGTGGTGTGGGATTGTAATCCTAGTTAACTGGAGACCCTGCCAAAAATACCTCTCTCTCTCTCTCTCTCTCTCACTCTCTCTTTCTCTCCCTCCCTCCCTCCCTCAATCACTCTCTATCATTATTAGAGGGAGAGACTAATCAATCAAGGTTAGGTTAAATTGAAATTTTGTTTTTGTTTTCGTTTTAGGTTTTTGCCATAGGGCGTGTACACTTGCAGGAGAAAGACAGACAGAGAGAGTGACAAGGAAAGTGAGAAATCACCCCCCAGGGGGAGGGCCCTGTCACAGTCCCTTCTCCTCCACTTTCTCCCTGGTTTTGAGTACACACACATGCCCAGCCTGAGTTTCAAGCACCAGATCTGGGACTCAAACTGCAGCTGCCCACGTGGTAGTCCAGCACCTTAACTACCATACCACCTGTTGGCACCCATTAACTGAGATTTTACTGTATAGTAGTCCCTGGAATATCTGGCTCTTGAAGCTAAAGGATACAGAGGTAAACTCTTGTTAATAGTTTACAAAGCATAAAAGAAATCATATATTAAATTTTAGACTAACCAGATAAAATAAAACAAGTTTCTTTATTTCTGACTAAAATCTATCTTTGGTTAATCTGTGCTGATAGGTTATGATGTGTTTAATTTTGAAAACTAAAAATAGGCTAAAATAATTATAATGATTATCAGTTATCGTCACTTAGCTGGAGGTCAACAAACTTTTGCTGGTAAGGTACTACTTATAATTTTTCCAAAGATTTATGTCTCTGGAGGTAGAAAGGTAAGTACAAGAGTTTTAAAAATAGCTATAACTTGTATGGCCTTCTTTGCATGAAACTGGCTAGAATTTTGGATGACATACATTGGAAACAACCAGACATATGTTTAAGACATAGCAAATAAATATCTGATCTCTCAGAGTGATTTTGGATAAAATTTTTCAATGAAAACCAATTCATTTTATTTTCTCCTGAGTCTTTTTGTATTGTATAACTCTTTATTCATCTCTCAGGAGGTTCATAAAATTCAATGCATCTACGTTGTTTTCTCACTAGCAACTATCTAGCAATAAATAGTATTACTGAACCACTTAAGTAAATTTACCTGGCAAGTCATCCAAAAATCTGTACATCAGCTTCCTTAACTGAAGAAAAGCTTGGAAAAAGTTTTTAAGTTTGATTCATAAGTAATGGGAAAATTAAGATATTATTACTAGTTTTAGAATTATTTTATTTAACTTTGTTTATTTGCTTATTTTACTCCAACCAGAGAGGAACAGAGAGAGAGAGATATGGAAGGCGAGAAAGCAAACCACCAGGCAGAACTTGAACCGCAGTTCGCCATATGAGAATCCAACACCCTTAAACAACACGTCACCTGCCAGTCCAAGATATTATAAAAAAAAAAAAAATATGAAGGGATCAGCAAATGGTTAATGGTTACATCGCTGGACTTCCACATAGTTGACCATGGTTCGAGTCCAGGACCAGGCAGCTTAAAACCCATGCTGGGCACATGTGCGTGAGTGCCAAAAAAAATCCTAAGAGAAGAATGGAAGAGAAGAGGTTGTGGTGTGGCCATCCCTTCAGGGAGTGATTTCTCACTTTCTATCTCTCTTTCTCTCTATCTCTCTGGTGACCACACTCACCCTATAACAAATATCTCTCTTAAAAAAAAAAAAAAATTTTTTTTTTTAAAGAGGAAGGAAATCCACAATGCAAGCACTAAAAACCCTAGTTGAGAATGTCAGGGTCACATCTACAACTTTATGCCTAACACAGTGCCTGGGACACAGTACACACCTAAAAATGTATACTGAACTGAACCACAGAAGGCGAGACAGATGTTTCTGCACTGCAACTAGGTTGATATGTCTAGCGATTGGCCAAGACAAGAAGGTAAGACCAGAATGGACTTATGGACTTCGTGTGCTTAGACACTAGGAGCACATGACACAAAGCTACCAGTGATTAGCAACCAACGAGATTCAGGTGTGCTACAGGAAACGTTTCCTTCACTTGAAAACTACAGCCAGGTCACGTGAGGCAGCATCAGTGAAAGGATGGCCCACAGTCACCTCTGTGAGAACCACCTGTGGCTCACCACACTGCATATTTCCAAATCTCAACCAGTACCTCCAGAACCAGAATAGGGACGGTAGAAAGCACTAAGAATCTGCATTTTTAACAAGATCCCAAGCGAGGCACACCAAACCTCAAGGCCTTTACTGTAAAATGTCTATAATGATACACAATAGTAAGGGGGAAACTGTTTTTGTCCAACTCCTGTCTTTCCATTCTTTCAGTTGTTTACTCATTTCCTAAAGATTTGTGTTCCCATACTCTTACTCTCACTGATTAGATATTATTTTTCTCTTTCTAATGTAGTATTTGAAACAGTCTTTTCCCACTCTCTTGCACATTGCCCACCCTGAGACTAAAATAATAACAGGTTTTTCTGTGTTAAAAATACTCTATTATGCTATGAATACAAAATCAATTGTGATTTACACAAATACCAAACCAATTTGTTAGCTAATGAACCATTCCATTTTTAATTCAAGTTTACTTGGAAGTAGTCATTCAATGTCATTAATTCATATTATTCAAAGATGACGAACTACTCACTGATGATACCTTGCCTGCTTGAGTAGTTCCTTTCAAGATCATGCTGTAAGAGTCTACCAGGAAATGGTGATGTTTCCTTATTTAGCTTGAATTCAACCTGGAAAACATGAAGAAAAAAAGTATTTGGAGAAGAGTTTAATGAGAAATAAAGGTAATCATATAATAACATACCATAACTGGTACTTGCTATGACATGGGTAAACCTTGCAAATATCATGCTAAGTTTAAAAAGTCAGATAGTAAGGCTACTTTTTATTTATTCACTTATTTACATATATAAGTTTTTGCCACAGGGTACATGTGCTCACTGGAGAAAGACAGAAACAGAGCGAGGGGAGGTGAGAAACACCCCCTGAGAGAGGATGGTCATGCCACAATACCTTCTCCTCCATTCTCTTCTTGGGATTTTTGGGCACATATGTACACGCACTCAGCAAGATTTTCAAGTAGCTGAGTCCTAGATTTGAACTGTGATCAGCCATGTAGGAATCAAATACCTTAACCACCAGGCCACCTGCTAGCCCAAGGCTACATATTGTATGATCCATTTATAAGAAATATTCATGGGGCCAGCAGGTGGCCTGGTGGTTACGGATGCTGGACTCTCACATGGCTGACCATGGTTTGAGTTCTGGACCTGGCAGCTTGCTTGCTTTCTCTCTCTCTTTCTCTGTCTCTCTCTGGTCACATTAAAAGGAAGGAAAGACGGAAGATTCATAATAGGTAAATCCACAAGAGACAGAAACTAAGGTCTCACCCAGTTTAGGAGATGGAGGAAGAGGGAGCAACCGCTAAACCAAAGTAACTTATGATTAGCCACAAGAAAACCCTAAATACACATCTTCAAAGAATTATGATGCTTCTTATTCGTCCATACTGTACACATTATGTCAGAACTTACATCCTTATGAATTATAAGAGCTAACGCTATTTTCTCAGAAGATCATGTCCACACGAGAGAAAGTGAATGGTTTGGAAAGAATTTGGATTAGGAACATGATTCTTTAAAAATATTATAACAGTACACCCTGATTTGTTCATTGGGATCAATTAGAAAAGCTTCAGAGCGAATCCATTATGTCCAATTATAATAAAGAATATTTTCAGCCTATCTAGCTAGTCAGTGTTGGAGACAGTCAAGTGGCCTATTTCCAAGTGTTCATGTTTACACACAAGCATGCAATCTGCTGCTGCTGGCCTGACTTCACGGTGTCCTTCCGTCTGTCTTCCTCATACTGTCCTCATCCTCTTTACCCTGTCACCTGTGAACTTCGCCCTCCACTGTAGAGTTCTCCCAGTGACACACATTTAACCGGACACAACCAAACTGTGACAGCTGGAGGTCTCCAACTTGGTCCAAGGAGGAAAATTCGTGTTTCTTGACACATAGCTGCGCAGGCGCGAGTCGGTATGTTTGAATGAAAGAATCTCACATTCACATCATAACTTCTAAACAACACGACACCCAACATATTTCCACCGCTAACCTGCTTTTCCTCAACTGATTTCAAACGGAGCACGCAGAGGCACCCTCCCCATGACCACACTGTGTGCATTCTAAGACGCCATGAGTAATAAGACATGGTGCTATTTTACCACTACTACGAAAAAAATTCCCAAGTAACTATGCCATGCCATCAACGTTAAGAAGGATTCTGAAATCAGAAATGTTCAAATGTCATAAATCTTACCTCTTATAATCAATGAAAACATTGTTTTAAAAGAGGGCTACTTTTGGGATCATGTAGGTAGAAAATTTAAAAAGACAGCTTTGTACTGGAGAATAATATAAATATTTAAAATGTCCAGTTCCGATGCTACTATTTAAACCATGATGACATCTGTGCAGAATATAAAACAGTTCATTTTCCATTTATATACCAGTCTGTTTAAATCTTACTTTGCTTTTTTCAGGAAGCGACGATGTTTGAATAACCAGATGAAGCCCACAATTCACCTGAAATGTAAAAAATTAAACATAAAATGTGCCCTCCACTTAAACACACACACACTCCCCCCAAATGGTATAAGCATGTGGCCAAGAACTAGAAGAGAACACATCGCTGGATTGTTGTTCCTGGGCAATGACCATGCTCAGGAGTTCCTGCAGACGATGAAGTCACAGCTGAGAATTAAACGGCTTCACCGACTCGTTTTCCAAAATGTCGGCAAGTTAACCCTTAGCACCTGAGGCTTTCCCACTTGCCACTTGAGGTGGAGTGTCCGCGAGGGCAGGTGAAGGCCGTGGGGTGCCCGTAACACGCTGGCTTCCCAGCTGGAGGAAGGAGGAAGGAGAGGGAACCGGGGAGGCGTGCAGGGCCGGGTCCCGGCGGGGCCCCCGTCCTGGGGGCGCGACCCCGCGGCCAA